CTCTTTCCACAGGCTTCTTTGTATGGGCAGAAAATCCTCATTTAAAATTTCCTCTTTTCCTTCATTGCTCTGCATTCAACTCTTCCTTTCCCCTTTCAGCATCATATTTTCCTTTCTGCATGTCCCACACAAAATGCACCCCCGCCCATTGCTTCGACTTTCCTATTACTCTACATCTTTACTGCCCACCCAATCACTCACAATGAAATAAAACAGAACAGAAGCTGGCAACCTGTGGCCTATAGGCGAGGTCACAGGGATACTGGATCCAGAGTGCAGCAGTACATGGTGACAGGGGGCACCAACACTAGATGCCAACTTATAGGTGTTCCCCCAGGTCTCATCCATTTCCTGTGGCACAGCTTGCCCAGACCCCCCTTTCTACCTGCATTTCTCTGTCCCTGAACCATTTGTCTGAACCCCCTCCAACAATACCCCAGCTTTTCCTGCTCTGTGCCAAGGGCTGCATTCTCATGGCCCCCAACTGTGGCCACCACTTACCCTCCCTGCCAAATTGGCTGCTGCTTCTTGGTAACAATAGGCATCAGTGGTGGTAGCAGTCAGTGGCAAGGGTAGAACAGAGGCTGCAGCAGGGAGGTATGAAAGTGAGAGCAACCCTCAACACAGAGCAGGGAGGGATGGGCTTTTGCAGAAGGGGCACTACCACTGGGATCAGCTGTGCCAAAGCAGGCAGAGGAGATCAGCTGTGAGGCACAAGAGTGCTCACCAGCCTCGGAAAACACTGGTCCAAACCAAGGATACACACTGGCTGCAATGGGGTCCTAGTCTCTACCTGTCCACCTGCCTCTGACCCTGTGTAGGTCATTCTGATCTGCAGCTAGAAAAAGTTGCCTACCCATAATCCAATAACCTCACTCAGCTGACACCCAATTAGAGATACCTAAAACTCACTAGAGGCCTTCCTGTTTGACTTCATAGTACTCAAGACATCTGCAAGTCTGCTTCTCTGCAAGACAACAACAACCCCAGCCTGAGCATCTTCACTCTTATCCATCTTACATAGGAGATAAGGGCCCAGAGCCATGGAAGGCCCAATGCAGCAGGCATGCTCAAAGAATACCACCCACACAACAGGATTAGATTATTACAGAAAGCAAGGGGAAGGTAGTGGCAGCAGTGATACCCAGCTTCCTATAAACACCCTAGTGACTGAAGCATTTACCCAAAAAACGGAAGACCCCAGCTTCAATGCCCTCCTCACCCCAAGGAAGGTTCAAACCCACCTCTTCTGCTTACTGAGGTGAGTGCTCTAACCATAAAACTAAAGGCTGTTCTTGAGGGGGACACTCCACTAGTTGAAGTTGTACAAATATGCAACAAAGAATTCAAGATTCACTGGGCTAGAGACAGCACAATTTTACCCTTAGGGCATCCATTTAAGAGAGGGAGTCATAACTTCTGCTTCCTGCTCAAAGGAATCTTCTGTATGCATTTTATCAAACTGAAGACATGTTCCTTCTTGTGCTCTCTCTCTTGCTCCATGATTCTTGAAGTTGTGCTACTGTGAAACAGAATTCAGCAGTACAGACTAAGAGTGCTCCCATGCCAAAATATCCCCTAACCTCATGGCTGGGCCCTTTCCTGGAATGTGAATTATGTGGGTTTTATACAAGGTCTCCCAATCCTAGGTGAATGTTCTGACCCATAGGCTATTACAGAAAATGCTGGTACCATCTCCCGTGTCTGAAAAAAAAGAGTGAGCTCAGTTCTCTGAAAGGCAGAAAGAGACTATTCTGGATTGTGGATCTCAAGTGGGCAGAAGCACCTTCTGCAGCCCTGAGTAAGGCACCTAACCTCTAGAAAGGGGAGAGGTTTCAGACATACCTAGTTGTTAGCATTTCCTAGTGATGTGCTTCAAGTCACCCCTACTCAGCATGCCAACTATTTTGCATCCTCTTCTGCAATTTCTACCATTCCATGTACTACATAGTATGCCTAGGCACCTAATACTAATTTCACCTTGGGGAGTAAGCCCCTAAAAGCTATGTGCTTTACTATTCAGGTTTTAGATGTTTGATCCATCTTTGTTGTACAGAACTACGTACGGCAGTGAAATGGGTTTGATTGCACTGATGCTACTACACATAGCTATATGTTGGAACTCTTTGCTTAGAGAGAACCTGGTCTTAGACTTAGTAGACACAAATTCATACTGAACATGGCAGGAGGTAACTATCCAGAAAGACACCAATTCATTCTCTCGTAAACTACTGGTAAGAGAGATGTGGGTCCTCATCTCTAAGAAGAGTTACAATGTATATCTGCGTGTAGCAGCATCAGTTCAATCAAACCCATTTCACTACTGTACATACTTCTATACAAAAGCGATGGAAAGCAAAACTCTAGTCAAGGGGTGGTCAATCCCCAGCTCCCAGAGTTGTGTCATCCAGCCTGCAGGGTTCCTCATGGGTCCAAATATTTGGCATTAAGGGAACAGTGGCAGCATTAATTACTGCTCCCCTGTTGCCAAATTTCCAGATCCATGAGAAGCCCTGCAAGCAGATAATGTGGCCGTGTGTGCTAGATTGGGTACACTGGTCTAGGGCAGTACAGGGCCCAATCTGGGCAGTACAAGGCAGGATCCAGATGCATGGGGCCAAAAAGTTGAGCACCACTGCTCTAGTCAGTTCTCTCTGGATGAGTTTTTAATGGAAGATTAACATTTAGGAGTCTGAAAAATTGATTGAAATTGCCATGAAATTATTCCATGAATACTTACCCCAGTCAAATAGTTTAGAAATCTTTTTGACTGATACTCTATGGGGAAAGACTTGAAGTACTATTGCCTGCACAGATGACACTCATATACCCTTGTCTGAGTATTTTGGCCCATGATATGAAATATATTCCCTATTTATGAAATTAAGAAAATACTGATGAATTTCCCTACTTTGCAATCCATTTCCAATGGAAGATTTAACTGAAAATGTTGGATATTCAGGACATATGTAAATCTGGCACCAAACAAAAAACAACTGATGTTTACAGGATATAGATGAGAAATCCAACATTTACTTACACACAACTGTAGTTTAGAATGAAAATAAATTCAATTAGGAGTTTCTATCATAGTTTTTTCCTAAAAATGTGGAGGATCAACTGGAGAATAAAGACCACTGGTTATACTACTACATTATAACGGTATCCTACTAAACTGAATAATACCTTAACTTGTTTTTCTTTCTTTTTCCGTACATCTTCCCATTCATTTACAATTCTCCCCCAAAGGATCCAGGAATCTTCTTCGAGATGGCTGAGGTTGCTAGAAGCTGATGAACTAGATACAAGGGAGGACCCACTATTCCTTCTTGACCCATTTACAGATCGTAAGGATTTGCTATCTGTCTCCAATAATCTGTAATATACAAGCAGGCAGTTACACAGAAAGTACTTCTAACCATGTTAGAGTGCATTCTTCATAATCTGATTACTTAAAAGGAAATAAATCAACTCTTTCTCTATCTTTCCAGAGAATGTAATCTAAAGGTCCCTTGGAACAATCTTTGTAACTTTTTAAAATACAGTAAGAAGTGCAAAACTTTGTATTCCTATTTCTTCTCAATCCACAATCTGTGGACAAAAAAATGGTCCAAATCACTATAGTTTTACAGCAACTGGAAACATTGAACAGGAAAGTATATTTTATGCCTTTTGCAGAAGTAGCACCACTTCAAATCAATCTCACCATGATCATTTTAGAGGCTGTGAAACTAGACTTTCAGAAAACAAAAAGGTCATTTGAGAGAGAAATTATATTTTAGTAATGTATTGCATGAGCAAGTGGAAAATGTACTCCCCCCCACACAGGTTACTAGTGAAGCTGGAAGCATAGGTGCCAGCAAGAAGGCTCTAATTCTGTTTTCATCTAGGTAAACACAAGTCTCCTATCCCAGGATCTCAGCTGGAGAATAAGCAGCTTTAAGGAAGGTATATATCCCTAATGACAGTGCCAAATATCAAAGCACTGAAAATGGACAACAATTTTAGGAAAAAGAAAGCAAACCCAGAACAGGCTGTTGAAGCCACCTCCTACATTACCAATGGCTGTCATTTGCATTAACCATTCTGCTCATTTTTTTGGTTTGGTCTGTGTTTACTTGGATTTTAAAAAGGTCTTTGATATGGTCTCCCATGCTGCTCTTATAAAAAAAAAACCCGGGGAATTGTGGGCTGACAGAGTCCATGGTCAGGTGGGTTGGGAACTGGCTAAGGGGTTGAACCCAGAGACTGTTAGTGGATGAGTCTGTATAGTCTTGGTGGAAGGTGGTTAGTGTCATCCTGCTGGGTTCAGTTCAAGGCCCTATGTTGTTCAACATCTTTATCAACAATTTAGAGGAGAATGTGGAAAGTACACTGGGCAAGTTTGTGGACAATACTAAGTTATGGGGAAAAGCAGTTATGCTAGGGAATAGGATGAGGATCCAAGAGGACCTGGACAAGCTGGAAAGGTGGGCAAGTGGAACTGGATGCAGTTTAATAAGGATAAATGCAGAGTCCTTCATCTGGGGAGAAGTAACCAGAGACATGAATATAGGTTAGGAAATGTCCTGGCCAGCATGATGGCTGAAAGGGACCTTGGGATTATGGCTGATCACAGGATGAACATGAGAGCCACTACTGCGATGCTGTAGTCAAAAGAGCTAATAGGATACTGGGATGCACTAGCTGATGTATCACGAACAGGGCTAAGGAAGTGGTACTCCCTTTCTACTTGGCACTGGTGAGACCCCAGATGGACACAGTTCTGGACACTGCACTTCAAAAAAGATGTGGAGAATCTTGAAAGGGTCCCAGCAAGGGCCACAAGAATAAGGGCCTGGAGGACAAACCTTATGAGGAAAGACTAAGGGATCTGGGACTGTTCAGCCTGGGGAAGAGAAAACTAAAGGGGGGACTTGGTGGCTGTCTAAGTACATAAGGGCTGAGTATTGGGAGCTGGGAGAAAAACTGTTCACTAGGGTGCCGCAGGGGAGGACAAGGATCAATGGCCATAGACTGTTAGAGGATGGTTTCAGGTTGGATGCAAGGAAGAACTTCTTTATGATAAGGGTAACCAAAATCTCAAATAGACTTCCCAAGGCGGTGGTGCAGTCCCAAACCTTGGAAGTCTTTAAGAGGAGACTGGACAGACACCTTGCTGGGATCATTTGATCTCAGCAGTATTCCTGACCAGAGCAGGGGGGCTGGACTTGATGATCTTTCGAGGTCCCTTCCAGTCCTTAATTTCTAAGATTCTATGACACTATACTGGAGCACCCAATGCCTCAAGATAAATTACTTACAAATTATGATTCAGACATCCATATCAAAGCTTTGGCTGAGGCACTTAACAGGCACATACATGTCACTATCCTGGAAATTTTACACTAATCCAAAATTAATCTAATCTGATATTCCATGATGCCTAAGGTTTTTCTATGGTCCCATTTATATTGTATCATAATATTTGTGAGGTATTTCATAGTAAGGGTGTGCAAAAAGGGCCCTATTTGATTCAGATTCGGACCGAATTGGGAACAGTAATTTTATTCGGATCACTGTCCCCGATTCGATTCAGCTGAATCCGAATCTGTAGATTCGATGCTGATTTGGAGAATCAATGATTCAGACACAGACACAGCTTTAAATGTTTTTTCTACATACCTCAAGGTACCAGGCGCGGCTCATGAATGCTGCGATGCTGGGGCAGGTGGAACACCCCACAGGAGTGCAGGAGAGCCTTGCAGGTCTGCCGGAGAGACTGTTGTGATCCTCTGGGGGGAGACCCTTGCGATCCACTTACGGGTCTGACTGGGGGAGTGCTGGGCCCCCCCCCACACACACACACCCTCCCCAGCTTGGCAATCAGCTGCAGGGGGACCCTGGATACCCCATCAGACCCAGGAAGCATCAGTCGCTCAGCCAGGGGGGTGCAGGGGGTCCCGATATGCTCTCCAGCAGACCCAGAAGTGGATCAGAAGTGCTTGTGGTCCACTTCCAGGTCTGCTGCCGAGCACGCTGAGGAACCCCCCACGCTTCTGTGGGACACTGCGTGTGCCCCAGCATTGCAGCATTTGTGAGCCACCTGCTACTTAGAGGTATGTAGAAATGTAGCAGAAAGCCCCTTTTCCTCTTGCCTGCAGTTGCTCTCCCCTCCTTGGATATGTTTTTCCTCTTCTACCTTTTCTTCCTTTCTCTTTCTTTCACTTTAAGATAAGGAATTGTGTTTTGAAATGTGTACGTGTGCATTTTGTATCTCCCCTTGTATTTTGGTATTTTTATCTATTTGTGTGCCATGGCATTACTTTTGTAGCTTATATTTTATACTCCTCACCTTTCAACTTTCAACTAAATGTGTTTAGTTTCATAAGTAAGTTATACATTGTAACAATGTTAACAAGGGTAGGAATCAAACTGCCCTTCCCTGCATCAAGCTGGCCCCTGAAAGAGCAAGTGAATCAGTGATTGAATGTGTAACACGGTAGCAGGCAGCAATTAACACCTAAGGAAACTGCAGATCAACCAACGGAAGAACTCAACAGAAGACAATGTAACAACCGAGAAATCTCTAAACATCACTGATCAAGGGCTAGAAGCCCTCGCCTGAGTTAATCAACGCTGGGGAACCAACTTTTGGGATGAATATCTCCAGATCAACCACTTCCAGAGCCCTATTCAAAATTCATCAATGGACTCCCAAACCCGCACATACATGTGGACGACCCCTGGGGCTGACAGATGCCATCCAGTAGCCACTGAGGGGCGAAGTCCCACGAGGGTCAACGACCCCTGGATTGGGCAAACCTGAAAACTGGGGAGTCACCAAAGTCTGCCAAGGACGATAAAAAGCAGTGAAAAGTGACCCTCAGGGGCGCCCTCTTGATCTCCAACTTGACCCGACCTGTCCAGCCAGAAGGACCAGCCGGCGACCCCCTTCTGGAAGATAATGCCATGCTGAAAGAAGCCTCAACGGCAGACTCCAGTGCCTGTGGGATAGGTATACCTGACTCTTGTAGCTTGCTAGAGTGTGTGTGTGTGTGTGTGTGTGTGTGTGTGTGTGTGCGCGCGCGTGCGTGCGTGCGTGCGGACCAGCCCCAACGTTTGATTCAACTTCATTACAGTGCTTCAATCTGCCTAATAAACTAGAATTTTAAGGATCCTGAGTTGGACATTTGTAGCCAACAGAAAAAACATTTAAATCTGTGTCTATGTCCGAATTGCTGAATCTTTCCGAATCAATTCAAAGGGTTCCGATTCGATTCAGAGAGATTAAAGGGTCCTCTGATTCTATTCTGATTCGGAGATTCGGCCACTGAATCAGCCAAATTGAATCAGGGACTGAAGCTTCGCACAGCCCTATTTCATAGTACCCTTGTGAGATACAAGTAGGTTCCCCAATTTCAGAGATGAGTAAACTGATACTGACTGTGTTTAGAACCATCACAGATTACGTATTTTCATTATAGTAGAATCTGCAGGTCCCAGACAGGACTGATCCCCACTGCAATAGGCATTGTGCAAGCTGAGACTACCCTGAACAGCTCACCATTTTAACAGTTATGGAATAACTACAAGCTTTTTGTTGGACAATAAGAAGGACAGTAACAGGATAGGGCTGAGTGTGAACAAAGGAGAACAAAGTAAGGATAAAGGCCTGAGAAACAAAAGAGACAGGAGCAGAGCATTGAGGGAAGAGGACACAGAAGAGCAAGATATACCTGAACTTACAGTATTTAGCAAGCAGAGGGAAGAAAGAACAAACAGGTTAAAAGTCATTCATTGGCTATAGTAAAATCCATAGCTCAAACCTGAGAATTCCCAGGATGTTGAGAGGTGAGGGACATCAAAAGATTTGCTGGCAGCTGCAGCAATACCTGTAGGGAGTTCCAAGGAGGCTAGGGCTTAGGATATCCTCCAACACTTTGCCTTGTGCTGACAGAGTTGGCCACCATAGGGGAGTCACGGCTGCAGAGAACCTCCTTGCCCGAGATAGCTCTTTACCTCATTAATTACATTTACCACTGGGTTGCTGCTGTGACTACTAAATTTGTGAAGAGCTCCAGTGAACAGGGCTCTAAGGTCTCATCTTCAACTGACAATGAAGTACGTAAAAAATAATACTGGTAATTATTATCTTCACCATCATCATTATTTTAGTTCAGGCTTTGGTTAGAAGCAAAACTTCAAACTCTACTTTCAAATCTATAGTGTTGGTTTTCTGTTAGATCTATATTTGTAAGAAAGGGCAGATGGTATTAAATCTAGAGATATAATTAGCTGAGTAACTTTTGATGCCCCTACATTAAAATGTGAAAGCCAAATCGCCATATATACAATTTTATTTTTTCAGAAAGTTATAATCCACATTGTTGTGCACATACATGGTCATAACCTCAGTGCACCTTCAATATTTTGGCTCTCTCAACTAAAATAAACATTCAGTTATTTACAGTGCCTTTCCCCTTCTCAGCTCACCCTTTAATATTTGAGCAAGTTAGTAATTTTATAAACAAAGCAGATTCTAGAAAGTGATTTAATCTGTGAAGACAACATGCAAGTACAAACTTTTAAGTTGGGGAGGGGGCTTAAAAGAAACAGCACTGCCTGAATGTTCCCAAAAAGTTAAAGCTGTATTCAGTACAAATTAAAGAAGAGTCTGTTTTTCACAAAAAGGAACTCAAAAGTTGGAGGGGGAGGGGGAGAAACCACCCAGAATCACTATTCAGTTGCTATGTATGTACCTACAAATGAATTTTAAATTAGTTTTAAATATTTTACATTTAAAATATTTTAACATTAAATATTTAAAATCCTGAACTACAATGATTCATTACAAAAAATTAAAAAACTAGAATGTCTATTTTCAAGCTGTATCTTCCTAAACAAAAATCAGATGCCAAGTAATTCCAGATAGAAAAACATGCACCTAATGGAGTCCAGAACAAACATGTTAAAGTTATAAACACAATATTGCAGCTCTAAGAATTCATTTTTTTAGTTTTCCTATGTTTCTAAAAAAATTGACAAAATTCCTATTATAATTTGGACCTTACCTTGTTAAATTCATTGCCCTTGGATATGTAGTTTCTTTAAAACACTACCAACTCAAACAGCTTTATTTCATGTAAAACCTTTATCAATGATTTACTATCCCCAAACAGATCCTTTGGTACTCTGGACTGAACCATATCAGTGTACTTCTTAGGGGATTACAATAATACATAGACAGCTTTGGTAATGTCATGGGTTAAAATGGTAGAATTTCATTATAGAAAATCTGAGTTTTCTTCTCACTTTTGATCTTTTGTGGCTCTTGGTGTTTAAGTCCCTTACATCCCCCATCTTTACCTATGAACTAGCAAAGCCTGAGGATTCTAAATCTTAATATTTACACCAACAGTAGTTCTTCTGATGAGCAGAAACTGTGAGTTCAGAGAGCAATTCCTTACTGCCAAAAGGTGATTATAGTAAAAAACTGGCAAAGTTTCATTAAACGCACAAAATCCTCCAGACACATGCCTCAACTCTGTTTGAAATAGTATTCTTTGTGAAACATGCGAAAGCATGTTTTCAAATATCAGGTTTACTGTGACAAAATATCTTAACCTCTGACCATAATTCACAAAAAAGAAAAAGCCCCTTAGAGCAGGGTTTAACCCATACCAAATAAAACCAGACAACCTGGTTTGTGAGGTGCCATATTTTAAGTTAAAGTTAAATTGTTAAACTTTTGAAAAGTTGCTATTAATCAGTATTAAAAGATCTCTGCATCCTCAATCATTCACTGCTTAAAGAAAATTGGAAGTCCCCAAAGCCATATTTGGTAAGGAAATGAAAAAAAAAAAGTTTGGAAAAAGCAGGGATAGCAGCTCTGACTCTCAAACCAAAGCTGCTTGTGAAGCTAGCCTGTACCAGTAAGCTCAACAGCAAGGTACAGCCTTAATAGCAAAGAAAATTAACTGCTTTCTAACAGCTAATCAACAATTATTTGGTAGCTGAATCAGATAGACACCCTACATCAAGAACCTAGATGAGGCAGGTGTTGAAGAAGCCACAAAGTCAGACAAGGCAAGATCAAGCATTTGCTTTTGGCAGTGATTGAAAAATATTATGTTTTCACGAGGTACTGGAGATTATCTGCTGCTGCCTGCAGTGTCATAGCATATCATCCACAGGGCAAAGTAATCACATGAAAGACATGTCACTGCACGATGAATGTCTGCATGAGGCAGTTCAGAATCCTTACTTATCTTCATTTATTCTAAATCTTAAGCCTAGCACAGGGGTAAGCAAACCCTGGCACATGTGCCAGAGTGTGGCACACAAAGGCATTTTGCTTGGCAGATGCACCTTGAGGCATACAGTGTGGGAGCCGCAAGGAACCCAATCCTTGTTGTGGCAGTGCAGCCCAGGCTCTTTCCCACTGTCTGCCTCAAGGCGCACATGCAACCATCACCAGCAATAAGCCAGGCTGGGATTCCAAGGATCCCAATGCAGCTGCTTGCAGCCGCCCCACCAAGCAGGCTGGGCTTCATTGCAGATAGCAGGGGCCTGCCCAGAGCCTGAGCCAGCTGTGGCAGGCAGCCTGGAGGCTGGGAGAAGCTGTTCCAGGGTCCCTAGAGCCCTCGGGCAACTTGTTGCTAGTGGCAGATGCATGCATACATACCCTTGGGGCAGGCAGCAGGGAAGGGGCCGGGACTGCTGCCACAAGGGTTGGGCCTCTTGCGGCTCCACCACCATCCATCCCTGGTATACCAACGTCTTATAACTTGAGGTCACAGGTGTTTTTGGCACTCTGCCCAAAAATGTTGCCAACCCCTGGCCTAACATCACACTCTAAGATGATGTATATATTTTGAAAGACCAAGTATTAACTCAAACTGTAACTGAAACTGAATATTCAGAAGTACTGAAGGGTGGTAGTTTCAACTATTCTGGCAGTTCTGACAAATCTGTCCAGTACCTACTCTGGTGCACAGAATGCATGTCAAGGGGTTGACTAAAATAAGCAAGACGCTGGTAACAGAAGTCAGCTGTAAATATAGGGGGAGTATAACACTAAGCCTAGACAGGATTCACAAGCTCCCATCCAGTACCATAGCAAGCAAGTTTGGCTCCCGGGGCAAGCCCGCAGCGACAGCCCACCCTCGCCCTGAGCACAGATCCGGGGGCACACGCTCTCCCCTCCCCCCCACTTCTAGCCCGAGAGTGCAAGCAGCAGCAGGAGCCGCCCTCCCCCAACCCCCAAGCCCCTCCAAATGAGTCACTCATGGCTCCATCCCAAGCCCTGCTGGGCAGTGCCTGGTGGCACCCCTTTGCTTCAGCACCCGGGGCAGTCATCTCCCCCCTCTTGCTACGAAACCGCTCCCACCCTTTCAGACAGCTTTAAAAAACAGTATTATTAAATAAGGAAAAAAGAACAAGTTAGATGTCTGTAAAAGTACTCCCTTTCAAACTGCATACCAGATAATCACATGGCTCCAGCATCAACTCTTTGCATAAGTCTAGAAACAATGTGAATACTGTTAGAAAGCCATAAAAGGTAATGTTACACTTTAGAATGCTACAAAAAGAGATGTTTTTCTTAAATTTCAGATTAAGAATATTCAAAATGTAAATGCTTGTTCCTATATGTAGTAATCTTCAGTTGGGCTTAACATTCTACCAGGAAACTTTAGCATTTTTTTTTTAAAAGGCTCTATCGTGAACTTTCAATAAATCTATTTTTAAGTCTTTCTATTATTATTTCAAGAGCAAGATACCAAAGCAAAGTTTCCCACTCACCTATTCTGCTCTTCAAGTTTAGCCAGTAATTCTAGCTCGTCTGGACTCAACTGCGTTGGTGAGGATGGCGATAGTGCTGGTGTTGAGGGAGTGGTAGAGGAGGATGTAGTGTGTAATGAGGCAGATGGACTTGCCACCTGACTGGCCATTTGACTGACAGTGTGCGATACAGTGTTCTTCACCCATGAGAGAGTAGAACTCAGCTTTCCTGCAACCTTGTCTGTCGCCACCTGCAAGCAACAGAAGGAAAAGGTGTTGCTAAAATTCAGAGATACAGAATATGAAATGTAATTTAAATAAACTAAATTAGTCTGCCATTTATTCTCTATTTTATAAAAAGCACAATTTCAGATTATCTTGTTTCCAAGAATACATGTTGTTAAAAGCAGTGAACGAGATGCATATGCAAGTATGACAGCAAGATGATAAGGGGGAACAAGTCCGATCCATATGCTGCAGATGAACAAAGAATACAGAAGAAAATGCTCAGAGACAAATCACAAGACTCGATTTTCAAACCCAGAATCAGCTAAAACTTCTACAATATAAAAATCAAGATCCTATCAAGACATGCTGGTCAAAGTGACAACGAAAGAAGAGGAAAACATGCTATTGACAATAAAACTTTACTCAAAGTGACACACAACCAAGCAAATACTCCCAGACTGTTAAATGTTTCTCGCACTCTCACCAGCCTCTCCAAATGCAAAGGACTGGGTGGAACTTGGGTCAATAAGATCAGTGTTTTATAACAAATAAAAATTAAACCCTTCTGACCTCTACCTTCATGAAGAAAACAGTAGTTTTGGAAGTATGCCTATGAACCTAGAATACAAGTCTACTCTCACAAATGGATCATGGAAAGATTGCTCCAAAAACCCCGTGCTGGTCTTCACAGAATAACTAAAAGGAGTCGAATTCACAAGTCAAAAGCATACTCCAACTCCACACTTGAAACTCCACCAGCAAAGGAAGGTAAGGCTTTGATCTGTAGTGATCCATCTTCTCAGCAGTCCTAAACCAGTGGTATTTCTCACTCTAGTCCAAGTTGTCAGCCTAAAGAAAGTGTAGTCCACATCGAAAAAAATATATCACAGAAAGATGGCTGGCACAAGTCAAAGGTTACTCAGGGGAAAACAGTAGATCTAAGCAAAATTTTTCTATGCAGTCACACTGCTGACTTAAGCATCTGTAGACTGCTACAAATTGATGCGCTGCCCAGGGGTTGGCATAAAGACTGCTTGTGGCAGAACCACACAGAACCACAAAGGCAAGCCTTTCTTTGCAGGATAGGGAGACTTACAAACCATACAACTTCTTAATGCATATTTCTTTTGCCAGGTGCTGCTTTCAAAACAATACACCGTGTGTTGTGGGAGGAAACAGATACTTAAGATTTGAAAAAAGCAAAGATCATTCAAATCCCACATGCCCAAGTCAAAAAGGGAGAAGAAAATACCCAAAATATAACAAAATTTGCTAAAATTAGTGAGGCCTCAATTCTAGCACTTCCTGTTGGGAAGTGGGACTAAAACTGAAGGCTTAAATCTACTAGTCTACATGAAAGAAATCTGTGCATCCACACACATACCTTATATGCCAAAGATGCATCTTTTGCAGCTTACAGCAATAAGACAACTGTGCATCATTGGGCATGTTCCCTGTTTGACAAACTTAATTAGCATTCTGTGACTTATTTTGTTTTGTTTTCACTATTTCCAATTCCATTACACTAATATATTACAAAGGTAAGACAAAAGTGTCTTTGCCTCCAGTCTTACATGCGTTTCTCTTTCACTGCCCTCTCCTTCCTTGTACGGCTCACTCTGTATCATTGGGTCTCAGCCTCCTTAGACTCAAATCACCCCTCTGAAAAGTGCCACTTTAAAAAAAAAAAGTTCTTCACCCATTTTTTGACTAGGAAAAAATAATATAGTAATTGTTCTGTTGCAAAAAACTCAGAAAGACCATAACAGGTGAGAATGTTTTTGACACTGTGGGTTCCTATTTGAAATTTCTGGGCACATCTTGTAAACCATGTGTAGGTCTTTGCATACATAACAGTACCAATATTACACAGCGCCCCTCTGCATGGCATCCTTAAAAGGATCTTTCAGAAGCCAAGTGTCATGACACTCTAGCTGAGAATTGCTGCTCTATACTGCACTACCTGTCTACAAAAAGAGCTTATTTATTCACATCACATTTCTTTTCCAATTTCTCTTCATCAATTCTCCCCACTCTCTCCCAACCACTCAATCCTAGGACTTAGAAACCATACCAGAAATCTAGAAGCCACAGAACTAAATCTATTAAAGAAAGTGATTTTGAAGATGGGAACGTAGTAAAAAGCCTACCTTTGATCTAGTTATTGGGAAAAGAGAGGGCAAAATCCCTCTACAATGAGTATGGACCGATTCTTTGGAATCAGCCCCCAAATAGTACAGGTTGGAAAGCTAAAAATCCAGTTCTGCAACAAGGAAGGAATACTCTACCCACCCTCCCACTCTCGAACTGTCTGGCTGCAGTGGATCTTTTAGGCCCAGTGCTCTCCTTAAGCTCTTTCCCCAGGCAATCATAGCAGTGATGAAAATGGACAATATAGTAAATTATCTCTCTGCTGAAACTGGGGAAAGCTAAACAGAAGCTCTAACAGTTTATCTTCACATTCTGAAAGACAGCAATACATAGACCACAACTCTATGAATAAAAGATGCAAAAGAAAAGAAGTATTTACTACAAATGGCTGCTACTTGACTGGAAGATATTTTACTTGCCCTTTTAGGTATCTGAGCAGTTTGTTATCCAAAGACTGGGAAAGGGAAGCCTGGCACAGAATGCTGCTATGTTCAAAAGAAGATATTTCCCATAGGCTATATATATCACAGAAGCACTCCTCTCTATCCAACAAACAGGCCAGTACTGCTAGTATGGTGACTGACTGTGTGTGTGTTGGGGGGGGGGTACTCTGCCACAAGCCCTCAGAGGCCCTGAACATCGCTGCTGCAGCCAGTGAGTGTGGGGCTTTTTTTGTTTTTTATTTAAGTGCCAGGAGGCTGGGGCTGGCAGGGGTTAGGGCTGGGCAGGACAGCCATGGGGGCTTCTCCCGTGGCTCCCCCTGCCGAGGTAGAGGCAGGCACAGCCAGAGGAGCTGTGGGAGAACCTGCAGCTGCCTGGATGTGCCTGCCTCTCCCCAGCTAATCCGAATTTCTGAATCAGCGCCAAAACTCCAAAACAGATTTGGCCGAATTGAAACGGAACAGTGATCCAAAACACCGAAATGAATCACTGTCCTCCAAAATGGCCGAATCCAAAACCAAAATGAAACACCCATTTCGCACAGCCCTACCAATTAGCACACCAATTAGCTTCATTGTGCTGTAATTGCAGTATGTCATAGCAGGCATCCTGCACTTCTACAGACACCCTAAGTGCCCAAATGGTTTATCTTGCATAACCATTGTAAAGTGGGCAAATTCTAACTATTCTCATAGCCAGGCCAGCTAGACCTGGGCTGACACACCTCCAAATCTGGCTAGATACGTGTGGATGCCTTCACTTCACTCTGAAATGAAGACATCCAACTATAAAGCCTAGATGGTACCAGAAGTTGTCCCAACTGGCAAATATTGCCTATAACTTAAGATGCGACTGTTCCAAACTGGTAGAGCTGGACGCCAAAACGTTGTTAGTTACATAAATTTATTTCTCAGGCAATAGATACAAGGCTTCTAGAACAGCATGCCAAAAAGCTGGCTCTTGGTATTTAAGAAAAAGTAACAGAAGGGTTATTTTGCAGTTGAAAAGACAATGTGTCAGGAACAAGTTCTCCTTTTGGCTCTGCCAAACGGCAGTATGACCTGAGGTAAGTTATTTAACCTCCAAGCCCATTTCCCATTTTTAAATATGACGATTGCATTAGGGGAAAAATCTTAAATGGAGTGATTTAGGTAACTGCAAAATATGTTTACCACATAACTGTAAAAATACAAGCAAGTTAAACATGAGCAACACGAAACTTGTGAATGGAATCTACGCTCAAGCCATCTAAAACGATGAATGATTATACTAATATTTAGCCAAATTACAAACAATTATATCCAGTTCATATCTACAGTGTTACCTCTTACTCAGATCTGGTTTTGTTTTTTTTCTAAACAGGAACATCCATTATAGACAAGAAAAGAAATTCAGTTTCAAAATAATGTAACAACACTACCAAGTCCAAACAAAAACTGAAAGGTAATTCAAGTCTCAAATTCACTGTATCAATTCCATTTTTTATACAATTACCAAGATAAAACAAATGGAGAGAAGATTTTTTTATGCTTTTTAATTTCAAGCTATTGCTTGTTAAGATGTACTAACATAAATGCTGCTGAAGTTCTCTATTCGGTTTCCCTCAGGAAAAGCAAACTAAAGTACCTCAAAATACTACTGTATCAGTAATAACAATTAGACCAAAATTATTAGAATATATTTAAATCTATTGTAATTAATGACAATCCCAAAAGGTACTTGGTTGTAAAAGCCAAAAAGTTTAGAGAAATTATTCATTTGGGGTGCTAGGTATAATTACTGGTCCACACAGCTCTTGCTAACTAATCACATTGTGCTTTTCTTTTTGTATCCAACTGCTAAATCATGTTAACAGCTAAAAATACATCTATATTTTCCATATAAGTGATTTCCCTATTTGCCCCAGCAATAGTAGGCTATCACAAATGGAAAGGTGGATAACCCATGAGAGGTGCTGTACAATGAACATTTTAGAATACCTAGCTGGTCAGCTGTTATACAAAAGGGCTGTCAGGCTGTTAAACAGCAGCCCCCAGGCGCAACCCATAATTTTTTGGGGCCCCCTGCAAGATATAGTTTTGGGGTCCCCTGACCCATCAAAAAAATAAAAAAATTTTTAAAAAAATCAAACCTGCGGTTAACTGCAGTATAAACTCACTGAAATAAAAGTTGGGGCCAGGCTGCGCTGTCGGGGGCGCGAGGTGGGGGCAGCACGTACTGGGACACCTGGGTTCCCTCCCCAGGGCCAGGGTGGAGCTGAGAACTCCTCTCACACTCAGCTGGGAAGGGGTTGCCTGCATCAAGCCCTTTAAACATGGCGCAGGCAGCAGGGGGAGAACAGGGCATGGTCCATTGGCTGCGGGGCCCCCTGTGGCCGCAGGTTCCACGGGATAGGATGTTTAGGCCCTAGCAGCCCCCAGCCTCTTACCCA